TGCTCCTTTAAATTAGATCAGATTTATATTTCCCAGAGGAGTAGCATGTTTAAAGTTAAAGCCCCAAAGGTAGCAATATAGTTTATGAGAGCAACACCAGCAATTGCTAACTTTGCCTTATCCTCCAAGGACAAACCTGAGCGAATACAAAATACTGTATTTATACATAGATGTTTCTTATATTTGTATTAAAACCCCCAAGTTTCCCCTCCAGTATCCCAAAAATCTTTCCTGTATAAAATCACAAGACATTCACATAAAAAAGTGTTGCAAGCAGAAACTCAAAAGAGGAGAAAAGCAAGATGAAAAATCTAGTGCTAATGGCTAGGTTCCCAAGTGGCTTAGGATTAGGAAAAAAAGATGGAGTACCACAATTTGATGCACGGGCAAATGAATGGTGCTCTCACTCCTCTGCAGCATGCCAGAAATTTATTACTGACACGTAAAACGTTTTCCTATCCTAACATCATTCTATATATATTAAATATAACATGTTATGGGACAAGAGTTTTAAGGCTCTTAATCTGCCATATAAAGGAGCCTTAGTAATAACTATTTACCTTTTGATTAACTCCAAGCAAATAATGGACGGAATCTTCAGTAGATGATTTCAGACCAGGGCACTTTGTTTCTGAAGGTACTTGTGTAGAGCAAGAAATTTTTGAAGAAGTTATGGGAAGGAGAGGCATTTTCTCAGAAGCAGAGGTGTCGTCATGTGTTTTCTCAGAATTGGAGGCTGAAGTGAGTGTTTTATCTTGAGCATTTCTTTGACTGTTATCAACAGGTTGGATTTCATGCCAAAGCTTTTTTGTAAGTACTTGGGAAACCAAATATTTGTTCTCTGATGAAGTATTTACAAGTTCAACACTTACTGGTTTTCCTTTTATTTTTTTCTGGTTCATTTCCTCTACAGCTAACTTTGCTTTATCAGTGTCTTTAAAGGAAAGAAATGCATATCTAAGGCATAAAATTTAAAAAAAAAAAAAAAAAGGAAACTAAGTAAAACATATATTAAATTACTATCAGTAAGAACACATGATGGGTCTCATCTTTTGAATATTAACTGTATCTCCATTAAACTCAACAGAAAATTTCAGACTCCTTAACTTCTTATAAGATGAGAAGCTGCCTGGAATGGCAAGTTTTTGTCAACCTATCTATATCTACATTGACTACTGAAACAAATTAATGAACACCACCCTCCCCTCTCCCATGATTCACTTCATTTGACAGAAAAAAATATCTGAAACAAGTAAAACTTGTATTAATATACCTGTAGTTGCTAGAATCCACTGAGGTAAGAGTATCAGAAATCTGATACTTCTGGAAATGGGATCTTAAATCACCCTACAAAATAGAAGCATATTTCGTTGCAAAGGTGTACTACGGAAGAATTCAGAAAAGACACAACATTACTACTATGTAAATGAGAACAGGCATACCTCTGACACTGAGGAACTTAGGCCACCAACATGAATAAAAGAACACTCATTTCCACTCTCCATTACCTTCGCTTCTAATAATAAACATAAGAAAGCAAAGTGTAACTAACTATTCTTGTTTCAGTTCAGGCTAACATCTTCTCTGTAGATTTTGGAAAGCACAGATAGAAAACCTTTAAAAAACCTAAAAGAATGAAGAGTGTCTTCTGAGAGAAAATGAGAGTGCCATGAGAAGCAGAACAGTTCAGTTTGTGAAATCTCTTTTCCCTGAGTATTTCCTGAGGGTTGAAGAGGCAGAAGAGGTACAACCAGAGAAAACACTGGTCTGAACTAACAGGTACCACTGCTAAAGCATGGGTAGTGTACTGTGATTCCCCACCACAGAACACACAAGCTCTCTGCTTTCAACACACTGGGACTTCTAACCATGCCCGTCACTGGGACCCAAGTCTCCAAACACAGACCATTCCCAGCTAACTGTTAAGAAGCCAGTATGGGGAAGGCAGCAGAAAGAGGAGGAAGAGAAAAAAAGATAGATTTCCAGCTACATGACTGGCTGGACATTTACTAAGTTGAGTTTAACCACTGTAGGTCAAGTTTTCAAGAAAAAAATGTGGATTAAAAGAGCTGAATATCTGTACAAGCATTGACTGCAAGTCAATGAAAAAGTAAGTCTGAAAACCCAGCTAGCATTTTTTCCAAGTTTAGTTATGCTTGTAGAAGGAACAGAATACTCAAATAAACAACAAACACCATTATTAGGTATGGCAGCTTAAAGCACATGACCTCACCTCTTACATCAACCGTGTCTTGTTTTTCTTGTTGCTTTTTTGTTTCTTCAGATATTACTGAAAAATCTGCTACTGTCAAGTCCTCTTTAGCATCAAACCAATATTCATTCCCTTCTTCATTTTTCACACAGCCTTGACAGTCGAAATAAATTTCAGTGTGTTAAAATTCAGACCATGGTATGTCATAGAAATGAATATCAAATTTCTGTGTTCTTAAGAGGATTCCAGCTACCTACGTGACTTGGTACTACATTACAAAGAGGTGACACATGCTAGTTTTCACTTCTGATTTAAACAGCTGTCCTGGTTTCAACTGGGATAGAGTTAATTTTCTTCCTAGTAGCTGGCATAGTGCTGTGTTTTGGATTTAGGATGAGAATAATGCTGATAGCAACAACTAAAACATCAATGTGTTAAGTAGTACTTGAAGTCAAGGACTTTTCAGCTTCCCATGCTCTGCCAGGTGCACAAGAAATTAGGAGGGTGCACAGCCAAGACAGTTGATCCAAACTGACCAAAGGGCCATTCCATGCCATATGACATCATACTCAGCATATAAACTGGGGGGGGGGGTTGGCTGGTGGGGCAGCGTCGCTGCTCGAGGACTGGCTGGGCGTCGGCCAGCAGGTGGTAAGGGGTTGCATCACTTGTTTTTCCTGGGTTTTGTTTCTCTCTCTCTCTTTGTTCTCCTTTTCATTACAATTTTTATTACTATTATTTTCTTTCAATTATTAAACTGTTCTTATCTCCACCCATGAGCTTTCTTACTTTTGCCCTTCCGATTCGGTCCCCTGTCCCACCAGCGGTGAGTGTGAGTGAGTGGCTGTGTGGTGCCTGGTTGCCAACAGGGGCTAAACCACAACAGTAGCAAAATTTTTTTCAAGATGTGAAGTATAATATAGAGCTGATATAATGTTAAGCATGCCATCACAGAAAGAACAGTTGAGTATCCATATGTGTTTTACGCAGGGTTTGTTTTTTCCCCCAACAACTTCACTAACAAATAATGTAGTATTTGTACTAGAAGCAGATCGCTTACCACATTCTACATCCTGACCTTTATGTTGTTCTTCAAAAGCCTTGGAGGAAGCAGAGTCACTTGGCTGACGGCCATCAATTAAACATACAGTCTGTGGATTGTCCTACAAACATGTTTCAGTTATGTGATAGCACCTGGACCTGATTATACATTATTTTTCTGAGCTTCAGAATACTAACTGATTAAACAGGTAAATTTTAAAAAGTTAACCTAGTGATTGTCTTTAAGAACCCCCAAGTTATTTTATTTTGAAAGGACGATCAAAATTCTGGTCACATCAGCTGCATTTGTAATTACTGGCAGAGAATTGCAGCCTGACCCTTGAAGACTCTGATTGTATTTGCATATACCTAAAAGGAGACTATGCTTTACAACATTAATGTGTATGAAGTTCAGTAATGAAGTAGTCCCTACCATATTGACAGAAATCTTCCTTTCTTGCAGTTTTGGTGCTTCAAAGTCAGCTTTTCTTGCGCCTGAGACAGAACTAAAACCGATCCAAGAATTTCATACAAAATACGGCACAACAATTTTAAATTCTACAATGATACCAAGTACTCTGAAAGATTAATTTAAGTATTTCCAAAAGCTCACAGTGAAATAAATATGTGCTTAATAAATCTTAGCTTAAAATGAGAACCAAAGTTTTTTTCACACCTGTATTTTATAATTGCATTGGTTGCAACCTGAAACATAAAGCTATATTCTAGGTTTTTGTTAGGCTATTTTTCCTTTATATCTAAATGGCTTTCTGTGTGACGTTTCGATGTATGTCTTTTACAAGTTGAAATCTCTATGCAATTTTTGATTAATTTTATTAATGCGTAACAAGAAAGTTGAAAAAGATCTTTAGGTGTTTACCTGATGCAGTAAAAACTTATTGCCAAATTCATTTTAATCTCCACTTATGTAAAGTGGAGGACATGATCCTGAATATGCAGTACCATACATCTGCCTGAAATATGAAGTTATTTTTCTATCATTCTTCATAACTGAATGATAATCTTGGCAGAACAGCTGCTTATATGCTTAATGTTATCTTTGTTGGCAGCAAAGTCTTTTTGTTTTGGTGGGTTTTTTGGTGGTGGGGTTTTTTGTTTGTTTTGGGTATTTGCTTTGTTTTGTTTTTTAAAGACAGACAGCATAAAGATTAGAGACAAAGGTTTTAGCAGTGCAAGTAGGGAACCAGGAAAATTACCTGTAAATTGAAAACTTTTGCTATAAAGATAGTAAAAAAATACAACTCCACAGTTTGCATATTAGAACACTACAGAGTAAAAATTTCCTTAAAATAAAATCACTGCACCCAAAGAGCTATGCTAGTCTTTCAGCTAAACAGTTTGGAGCAACATCATACATCCTGAAATAAAGAAATTCTAAGTTTAACATATTTTAAATTCACTTCTCATTTATTTTGAACTTTAATAAATACCACAAGTGAGGACTACTTACTTGTAGCAACGATCATCCCTGAACAACTGCCAAAAAAAGAAAAGATTTGTCTTAATCTTCTGAAGACAATTTATATTAAAAACAAAAAGCAATTAAGAAATTACCTTGCATGGGACATAAGAGGAGGAGATTGGGAACAACTTCATCTCAACTGATAGCGGTGGAAGTGAATTTAAAGGTATGCCCATTTTTATTTTCATTCTCATACTGTTGTAATTCTTTTTTAGCTCTTCCAAAACCAACACGAGAGATGATCCTAATTCAGTATTTCCATTACATCTGTTAAAATATGTATTAGAAAATAAGATCAACTTACACGGACGTTTCATTTCTTTTACTGCTTCCAGAACTGCCCAAACATTTTATAGTGTTTAAAGACTCCTCCACATCCTGCATGAACAGGAGCTCGCTCCTAACGCACACAGTAGCTCTCTGGAGCCATACTCTGTTTCACAGCATTACTAGGTGCTCTCTTGAACCCCCTCCTAAGCTATGGAGCAGACACTATGGTAATGAGGTTTTATAGCTATCCGTGGCACAGTAAAGTGTTCAGAGGCAGGACTTCCTGGTTGAATTCCAGGTTCATTACAGAGCGTATGCTTTAACAGCTAGAGACTCTGCAATCACCACTCCCTTCCTGCCTCACCTCCTCTTTCTTTCTCTTTTACCTCCTCCTCCCCAGCTCCCCCTCTATGCATCTTGTCCATTCCTGAATGGATTCATTTTGGACAGATCTGTACTATTCCTTCTGTACTTTTCCTCCTGTACAGAAATACTTTCCTGGAAACAAACTGTATTTTGCTGGGTCTGTGAATGCTACAGAAAAAATTAGCCTGAAGATAAGACTTGGCAGTTAGGAGAATGTAACCTCTTTTGGACAACAATGCCAACTATAAACACTATTACAAGCCATGGATAGAATACATCAGTAACATTTAGCAATTAATGCCATTTAACAAAAGTTACTCATTTCATTTAAAAGGACATTAAAGTACATGCCTGCTGAAACATGTGTTTTCCTCCAAAGCCAGTTTGTAAATCTTCAAGCAGTGCTGATAACACATCTGATAATGAGTGTTTAGAATCTGCAATTCTGCTTCAATTGCCCTTTGCAGTATTTCTTGACAGTAGCCTGATGCAGAATTCTTCACAGCTTGTTTGAGGTGTACCGTCCTTTAAAATAATAATAATAAACAAAGTCTTGAAGCTCTTGAATCAATATTTTACAGTCATTATGTTTTATTTTGAAACAAGCAGCTTTCCAGAAGCTATTTCTAACACGATTTAAGGAAAAAAGAAAAATGAAATCAGTTCCTCCTATTTAGCATACAGAAAAAAATTACGTCTTACAGTAGCTTTCACATTATAATCAGCCTTAACTGAGAGGCAGAAACTGCATGACCACCATAATCATTTCTATCCAAAAAGTGCAGTCATAAGAACAAAAAGAAACTTAGCAACTCTGTTGATCTACAGACACACTTACTTTGTTTCCACAGTTGCAGAATAATTTAGGTTGGAAGGGATCTCTGGAGGTCTGCAGTACAAACCTCTGTTCAAAGCAGGGCTAACTTCAAAATTAGCTTGGGGTCTTACGCAGTCCAGCTTTGGGTTTGGAGATTTTTTTGTTTGTTTTAACAAGAAAGGAGACTGTGCCATCTCTCCAACACTGTTCCAACGCTACTCTAAGAAACTTTTTCTTATACCCACTTAGAATTCCCCTCACTGGAACTGCTAGCTCTTGCCCTTTCAAAACACACCTCTGCAATGAATTTAATTCTGTCTTCTTGGCAACCACCACCAGACTGCCAAGAACTGCAGGGAGGTTCCCCACCTCCCCAGCCTTCCCTTCTCTGGGCTGACCAAACCCAGTTCCCTCAGCTTTCCCCACACACCAGGTGCTCCACCAGCTCCCCTCGCCATCTCCATGGTCCTCTGGTGGGCTTTCTCTAGCCTGCCAATCTCTTTCTTGCACTACAAAGCCCACAGCTGGAGATACCTTTCAAGATGAAACCTCACGAGCACCAAACCGAGAAGAATCAGCACTTCCCTCCATCCACTGGCTGCACTCTCGCTAATGCAGCCCCAGAATGTGGCTTCCCTTCTTCACCATATGGGAGCACTGCTGACACACACTCAACTTGTACTTGGCCAGTCTGCAACTGCAGACCAAGACTGCTTTGGTCTGTTCAATTTCAGGATGTCTTCATCTCATTCTTCTGACTTGTCCTGGTCCTTCTGAAAGACTCCACTGTAGGAGCTGCTGCCCAGCAATCTTCTAGTACCATCAGTTTTGGTAAGTCATGGACAACCTTTCAATCGTGAAAAAAAAATCTTATCCAGAATGTAGAATTCCAAACCAAGAACAATTCATGACCCACCTGTCAGTGCTTATCTTTAAATCGCTGCTACAGAGCTCATTT